GGCGTCAGCAGAGGAGTGGGAAGAGAACCCAGGAGTCCTGACCCTGTGTCCCGTCCTTTCGACCCCTCTGTTACATGGCCAGGCTCTGCCAACAGGGAGCAGCTCCTGGGGCAGTCACAGCCCCACGGAGACGTCTCAGAGCCACGAGGCGCTTCGGCATGAAGAAGGCAAAGCTGGCAGGTTCCCTCATCTGGCCCTGGGCCCCTCCCCGAAGGCAGGCACCGGACCCTGGGCCCAGCTCAGGCAAAGGGCTGGCTCGCCTTGAGGCCTCTGCACCTCAGCGAAGGAGCCCTGGGGTTGTTACAAAATGGGTGCAGGGCGGGGAGGGCAGACACCTCCCACGCGGCGCCCAGGGGGTTAAAGCCCAGGGAGCGGCAGGCCGAGGGGCCGAGCCAGGCGTCTCTGGAAGGCAGGTGGTTTGGGTCCTGGCACTGTGGTATGTTCATGATTCCCACTTCCCTCCTTCCTCTCCAAAGCCGTGCTAGAGAGGAGATGCCAGGAGACATGCTCCCCCTCCCCCCCGGCACGCCCACCCCTGCCCGGCACACGGGCCCACCTCCCAGACGCACGCACACAGAGGGAATCCCAGGCTGGCACAGGAGTCGGGCTGCACTGGGACCTGCATGTGCCTGCGCCTATTCCGCAGGGAGAGGCAAGCGCTGGGCGAGGGCAGGCACGGAGGCCGACAATGGCTGGAGCAAGGCCTCAGCTCGGTGCCTGGGAAGGAGTCAGGCCGTGTGCCCAGGGCAGTAGCTGACCAGTCGGGGTCTTTGCTGGGGGCAAGGCACAAAGGGGCAGGACCTGGGAGCAAAAACTGAGCCATCCCAGGCCAGGCCCTGCCCAAGTAGCTACCCCACGCTCCTGGGGCTCCTGGGGCTCCCCCGCTCCCGGGGCTCCACACGGTGCACGCTCCTGCTCTCCGGCAGGGCAGCTGCTCCGGGCCAACAGGGCGAGCTGGGGCAGACCATCGGCTGGTTCCACCCACGTGGCTCTGACGCCGCC